CACGCACATCCACGCACACGGCTGCACAGGTGTTACGCACAATTGACATGGTTAAATAAAATTCAACATATGCAATTGCAATTGCAATTGCATTTTCCGTAATTACCAGAATAATCGTAATTACGCGTATAAAAGACACACGCGCACACACACACATGCACATACGCACACAGAGTTCGGCCGGACAGATAGTTAATTGAGCTGTTGCAGGCTTACAATTGTTCTTGTTGGCGTTATTTGTAATTGCTGTTGTCTTTTCTGCTTCTTCTTCGTCTGCTTCTTATTGTTGTTTTTGTTGTTATTAATGCGAGTGTTGGCACTTTCGCACGCAGCAAGCAGCTTTTTGTCACCCCCACCATCAACTCACCTCTCCTCACCTCATCACATCACAAAAATTCACCCCACTCCAGAGCAGTCCGGCGCCCATTTGCACGCTTACACCAGCCAGCATTGTGTGGAAAAGTTTGCTGGTAAACACATTCATAAAGCAAATATGCAGGCCACCAACCAACCAACCAACCAACCAGGCAGCGCAGCGAACATCAACAGCGATGCTCTGGCATCGCTGCTGGCGTCGCTGCCAATACGAACATATGCTAAACGCCCAGCAGAACAACAGACAAGTGTCGGCCCCCGTCAGCTAAAGCGAGCCGAGTCGAAACGATTTGTTGCGTAGCCGAAGTCATGCCGACACGGCGTCTTGGTATAAAAGCCGCTGGCAGCAACAATCTCGTTCAGCATTCTACGTGCGGCAAGCGTAGAGCGCACATCATACACAGAGCTTGAGCAGAGCAGAGCAGAGCAGAGTGAAGCGGAGCTGAGCTAAGCAGCGCTAAGCGGAGCAAAGCACTTTCAAAAGACAGAGGCGCGTTTTTGTAAAAAGCGCGCGCAAAAGCATTTGCTTGAACGGTAAATGTGAAAAAAATAGAAAAAAAAAGAAAACGGTAAAAACGAGAGGCATAAGAGTCGCGCGCGAATTGAGCGCTGTTTACTTTGCCTTTATAAATCCGGCGAGCGCTTTGTTTGTGTTTGTGTTGATGTTGACAAAACAAAAAAAGCAAAAAAAAAAGAAAACAAAACAAAAAAGAAAAGAAATAAAAAAAGAACACATTATTTTCTTATCTGCCTTGCACTCTCTGTGTCTACTTGTTGTTGTTGCTGTTTTTTTTGTATTTTTTTGTTATTTTTCTTGTGGTTGTTGTTAGTGCGCAAAGTGCATAGCCGAAAGAAATAACAGGCCAAAAATTGCAAACGGAAAAGGAAAGCGGAAAGTGTTGCATTTCCGTGTCGCCTGCAGTTCGCTGTTGTTGTTGATGTTATTGCTGTTGCCATTGTTGTTGCCGTTGCTGTTTACCGTTACCTTCGGCCATTTTTGGCGCCGCATAAAATGGCCGCAGGTGCTGCCGACAAGTCGCATTGGCCATAAACAAATTCTCGCCAATATCCGTTGACCTTTTTCAAAGTGGCCCAAAAATGAAAAGGCAAACAAATTGCGAATCGCAAATTGCTAATTGCAAATTGCATCGTAAAATCATTTAATTCCAGATTTACAGCCAATTCGAGACATCAATAGAAAAAAATATATATCTAAATATCAAATCACTTGCCATACACTGTGCGAATTTGCTAATCTTCAATCGATTGCTTTCATTTATTTTCCTGATAAATTCTTAACATTCATTTTGTTAAAGAATTTTCATATATATATTTCGACGGCATAGAAAAAGTTTTAAAGTATTTGTTAAAGATTATTTTAACCAAAAAAGTTTTTGGCTTAAAAAAATTTTTTTTTTAAAAGATATTCTTAGAGCAAAAAAGTTTTCGGCTTTTCAAAAATCTTACTTAGATCGAACATAAATAAAATTTCTATTTTGAACGTAAAGCAAATCTCTTTTAGTTTTTTTTTTTTAATCATGGAATATATATATCCTAATTGATTTCTTATTAGTTTTTTAAGTTTTTAATTTTTTTCCTTGCACGAGTTTCAAATACAAAATTCAAAGAAGAAATACATCAACTTTCGTATACGTAATATTGAGTTATACAATCTTTTATTTACGTAACGAAAATGCATATGAGCTTAATATGTAAATTTGTGTATACGTAATACGTAAGCAACATTTTTCGTATATGCAAAATATACGTTATAAGTAATTTTCGTGCACGTAATAAATTAGATGACAAACTGCTAATACGTAGCACGTAAACTTTTGCTTATAAGAATTGTTTTAATATTGTGGATGGCATACGTAAATTTAACAAATACGTAATATATAAAACTTCGTATACGTAATAAATTTCGTACGTAAAATTTTTAGTTTTACGTAAGAAATAAACTTTAAAATAATGAATACGTGAACTTATATAAATATAAAACGAAAATTTTTACGAGTATGCATAACGTGATTTTAACATTTAAGTATCCGTCTATCCAAATCCACTATTGTATACATAATACGATGTCATCCCGATGCTTAACACGTAAGCTCTTCGTATACGCAAGATATACGTTACATGTAACTGTCCTACACGTAATAATGAAATAATATAAACTTCTCCTACGTCATACGTAAAGTATTACATACGTAAAACGTAAATATTTGTGTGCAAAATACGTAAAGATATTCGCAGATAACGTAGAAATTTGTATTTTATATATGTAATACGTATAAAAATCGGAAAAAATTAATAAGAAAACTTAGAGTTAGGTAAAGAAGTCAAGTAAAAGGCGAAGATTGCGAACTTTAAATTCAATTAAATTATTTCAATATTCACATAAAGAAAACAGAAGACGCTGAGGATAATAAAGATTTTTGGCACTCTGTTGGTTCCGTAAGCAGATTTGGCTCTTAATCTATATGGCTGCTGTGGCAGCTTAATTATGTGAAGAACGTATATACTTTACAAAGAATTTGCACCGCAAAACAACAAAAATAGAGAAGAAGAGTGGAAGAAAAATGAATGGGAAGATATATAAAACACCGACCACAGAGGAGAAGCAATTGAATTGAAGTCCTTTTTAAGCCGAGACGGCAGCCAGTGGGGGCGTTGGCGGCGTTGGCAAGGTTGAGCCGCATTACTGCACAATGTCTGAATCTGTCACATTCGCTGGAAAATCTTGCTGTTTCAAAATGGAAATTGCATTCTCAGCAACACGCACAGAAAGTTGCCAAGTTTTTGCCTCAAATTTAAGCACTTTCGAAAGTATTTCGCTTTGGCCCTCGCCACTCCAGCCAAAACAAAAGTTGGCTAAAGAAGCACGAAAAAAAAGCAAGAATAAAAAAAATTATATGCGTTAGAAATTGCATTTTAATTTGCTTTCCATTTCGTTCACTGTATACAAGCTTTAAAGTAACAGAACAGGCGTAGAAGAAGAAGAGCAAGAGGAAGTTGGTAACATTAGGGTATAAATGGCCTAAACCGCACTGAGCAGGTGAGCATTTAGACCAAACTAATTGTGTGGCCTGAATGGCCAAAGTTGTTCGAGTGCGACTAAAGGTGAAACTTTACAACAAATTTGCCATTAAAAAGTTGTCGTTTTTCCACTCTTTTTTCACGTTTCCACGTGGATTTCTTTCTTTTGGAAATTTGAGTTATCTATTAACTACAGCTTCTGCTATTGATTGGATCAATCAATCAATTAATCTCTGATCAGTCTGCTATTCACTCAGTCAATCAATCAATCAATCAGACATCAGTAAGTTATTCAATCAATTAATCAGTGATTAGTTAGTTATTCAATCAATCAATCAGTGAATGTTCAGTTATACAATCAATAGCACTATATTCAATCAATCAGTCAGTCAATCAATCAATAAGTGATCAGTCAGTTATGTATTCTACATATTTTCATATAGACCAATTCAAAGGCTATTCAATCAATCAGTCAATAAATAATTGGTTCTTCAAACAAGAAGTCAATCAATCAGTCAGTCTTTATATAGAAATAAATATATATTTTACGTATTTTTAAACATTTACTTTTTTTTTTTTTGCTTCAACAATTTTTTACCTATTTGCCATTTCCATTAGAAAATTTAAATTTAAGGCATCAATTATAACTGTAAATTGACAGTATGCCAACTGCCATAGCTTGTGCTGAACACAAGTCTTCAATCAATCAATCAATCAAGCAATCTTAACGCATTTAATTCCGTTGATTGATTATGCTTCAGTCTCACATGCAAAATGCGCAGCAAACAAATTGAAAGTCATTTTAATCAAGCTCATATTCTATTGCCATGGCAATAACAGATAAATGTAAACACATATGCAAATATACATATATATATATATATATGTATGTGTGCGTGTGTGTGTGTATGCGTGGCTGCACTTGATTATCAAGATTTAGTCATGATAAATGTATCGTTACCCTATGGCCATTCAGTTGAAACTTTTGGGTCCATCATACGGCCAAATGCACCTAACAAAACAGACAGCCGGAGAAAGGGAGAGAGAGAGAGAGAGAGAGAGTGGTCCGTGGTTATTTTGGTCATAAAATGAGTTTCACGTAGCTTTGGCACGTTGAAAACTTTTTAAATAAGTTAAAGTTAAAGTTGAAGCTCGGGCGAGAGTTCAAATTCGGGCTCGTAAAATTGCGAGCGCTGCAAAGTATGCTGCACAAATTGTGCTTGCAATGTTGCCAATTGCTAAGCCATAAAAAGTGTGTCGCAACAACAAAAACAGACAACAGGGCGAATAACAATAACAACAACAAGTATTAAATGCGACAAACTTCGTATAATGTTAAATTTGATTTCAACTATCTGAGTGCTTACAATGGAATAACAACAACAACAACTTTCACAGGCAGTCAACGATAACGGAACGATAAACGATTAACGATCAACGCATCAGGGGGACCAATGTCGCTGCAGCCAAGCGTTCAATCGGGCAAATGCCAAATGGATGTCGGCAAGGAACAGCAGCACAAAGGGAAGCAGCAAGAGCCGCCGTCGCAGCCGCAGTCGCCGCCGCAGCCGCAATTGCCGCAGCAAAAGCAAGAACAACGACAACGTCGCTCAATGCAGCTGCTGCCGGTCATGTTGATGTTGCTGCTGCTGACGCTGTTCACGCGGCCACTGAGCGTTCACTCAAATCGTAAGTACAACGAAAGCAAATGGAGATGGTGTTCGTTTGAGAGAGGGGGAATTGAAGAGAACGCGCTGTTTGATCGACTGACATTGACATGAGTACGAAACTACCTTTGCCAATGCAGTTGGCGGTTGCTCTCTCTCTATCCCCCTTTCATTAAATTAAGCTTAGTTTATTTACCTTTTCCCTTGCTTATTGTTTGCCATTAAACTGCATAGGAAACAAAATGAAAATTAAATTCTTAATTTGAATTTGTGCTTCGCCAGCAAAATTTTAAGATGCACATTGTAAACAATTTCTCTTAAAAGTAAAGCAAATTTAAATCACGGTAACTGTGCAAATACATTGTGTGCTGTGCAGTCAACAATTCATTTTTCAATTAATAACTCATAAATATAATTAGCTTCATACAAAGTCACCAAGCAGAGCTTAGCGTAGAGAGAGAGCGGAAAAGAGTGCCAACATACATACATATATATATACACTGTTCAGTTACGAGCTCAAGCCCGCAGCCAAGCATAGACTAACTGTTAATTTCAACAGTACAGCTGAAGACTGATAAAGAGCGAGAGAGAGAGAGAGAGTGGTGGAAGCAGCAGACACCAAATCACCATAAGAGCGATCTTTTTGCGCTTACATAACAGACACAAATAGAGCGTATTTCTCACAGCTTAGTTGTGAGAGCAGCAGAGTACAGCTGTGGTGTGTCTGCTGGCAGTTTAACTAACTGCATACAAAGTAAACAGTGTGTGTGTGTGTGAGCAAGAGAGGGCGCTTCAGCATAGTATCAGAGCAAGCAGAGCTTTGCTACAAAATAAGTTAGCTCTAGACAAATTCACCATGCTAACGAGTGGGATCGTCTTAGCACTTACTCAACAAACATAAATAAGAGCGCAGTACATGTGCACCCACAACTTAGTCGCGAGCAGAGCTAAGCTGGAGGAGTGGGTGCCGTTTGGCTTATTTTCAATTCCGTTGCGTATCTTCAGCATGTTGTTCAGTGTTTATGGCGGCTGCCACTTTGCGATAGCTGCAAAGCAAGAAGTAACGCATACGCCGCCTTGTACACTCTCACATGCAAAAGCATGCGTGTGGTATTAAGTTATCACAAGACAATGCCAATGTTGAAAAGGACGAGCACGACTGCCGGTGTCTGTGTATGTTTGTGACACGTTTGTTTGTTTGTGCATTACTTTTTTACAAGCACTAAAAGATACACTCCCACCCACACACAGACAGTCAGTCAGCCAGCCAGAAGCAGTGTTACTGAAGGAGCTGCATGACAGCTTCCACAGCAAGAGAAGTTCAAAGTAGTTGGCTCCGGCTCGCCCAACGGCCCAATGATGACGCGATGGCTTGCTTGCCAGCAAGACGCGCATTAAAAATCAATACAACCTACAAATGTATCCTTTCTTCGGTTACAAAGGGCAGCATGACTACAACAACAACAGCAGCAACAAAAACCAGTTACATGGCGCCGTCTTTGGCTCGCTGCACAGCAAGTAAATGTAATGAAGCTGTGCAGGTGCGGCTATACATATACACATCCAAGTGTCTGTGTGTCCTTTGACATTGATCGATAACGATTATAGAGCGATACATTTGCATTGCTGCTTGTACTGTACTTTTCAAGTGTTGTGTAATGAAAATTAAATATGGTTAGCTTTGGAGAAGTGTAATTGCTAATAGAGTTCTGACAAATACAACTGTAATCGATAGCAATGACACTGTTATTATAACATATCGATGAACGCACTTGACGTTTATGATATGTATGTGCTTGTTAAAGCTGTGATCGATAACTCACTTCTGCATAGAGATGTTTGCTTAATGAATTTAGACTGCATGTAAGTGTTATCGATAAATACATGTTACATAGTAAAGTTACTGCATACTTGCTATTATAGCAAATGTTATGCTTAATTATAAATAAAACCAATATGACACATGTGTTATCGATAACTTTAAGCTTTAACATAAATTGTTTTAAGAGCCTAGAAATAGAGGTAACTAATGTGATGTATTATCGATAAACATATTTGTATTTAAAACACGTACTTCTTATACTATTTGCTATTGGCAAGTGTTATCGATAACTATTCATAGTGAACTGCTAGCACAGAATCCTTTAAAGATATGCAACAAGTTTTTGTTGCTTTCCCAACAAGCCATCAATTTGAGCTGCTAAGCATATGCGTGATTGACTGATTGACAGATTGACTGATAGATATACATCGCATATGCTTCGCTGCTTTATGCATCGATTTATGAGCACATCAATTTAATGTCTAAATGCAAATCGAATGAATATATATATCTACATTACGTCCTCTGTCCCGGTCTGTGTGGGTGGTGGCTGGTTTTTATAGGTTCGCAAGCTAAATGGGACAGCGCTAATGCCCACTAGTTGAGAGCGAGCGACTGATTAGCGTCGACCAAAGGCCGTGCGAGCGCAGAGTGTTTGTCAAGCCAGCAAAGTGCTTCATAAACACAATAACATGGTCCTTCAACTAAAACAAAATCACAGTCTCTTCGTCATGTGGCTTTGCGTCGCTGTCTCGCTGTCCCGCTGTCCTGTCGTCCTTAGCCAGTTGTCCTTCCCATTCCATTCTCTTTAGCCATTTTATTTGCCTGTTTTCGTTTCTGTTTTATACCCTATAAATGCGCGCCCATCGCATAGGCGGTGTGGGTATAATAAAGTTGCGCTAATGTCCTAGCTCTCGAGCCTGTGAACTACAAGAACCTCAGTTCTGGCGACTCTTTGTAGCCAAAAGAATAGAAGATATTTATCCAGTTTGAAATTGGTTTTACAACAGGTCCATTAGATTAACTATAAGATCTTAGCTAGATTGAGATAGGGCTAAAATGTATTTCTATTAACAACTATCGATATATGTAGTATTGTAGTCGATAAGTGCAGAAAAATAGATAGTACGATAGCACAGATCGATAATTATTTCAGTTAAAGCCGACAGCTAAAGAACTATCAAAATTACATTTGATAAATGTCAATGTTATCGATAGCATTACACATGAGTTAAGCTTATCGATAACTTTTAGCAGTGTTTTATAACAGTAGAAAGTGATTTGTTCTGATTTGCTAGAGAAGTCGCAGTGCTAAAAGATCTCTAGGGTATTCTCCAGTCGTGCATCTTACCTTTGAGCACTTCTAGCTGTGCTTCAATGTTATTGTAGAGAGTCGTCCAGGCTTGTTAGTCCATGTGAGAAGTACAGAACTGAATGTCTGCCAGATGTGATATACATATATATATATATATATATATATATATATATATATATATATATATATATATATATATATCCTATATGATAAATATAAATATATATATATATATATATATAGAAACAGCTTAGAGCAAAGCTCTCTCAGCTCATAGATATAGATATCACGTCGATCAGTAAAATATAGCTGCTATATCTAAAATCTGCCATATCTATATCTAAAATCTTAATATAAGATCCTTTATATGAAAGGGGCTTTGTTTTCTCTCACTTTACATTCTTGGCTAATTGGAAAATGGTTTCTTGATCAGCAATACGATTTATATAGATATAGATATGGTATTCTACGTATGGTATACCATTTAGCATCTACCATAGATATAAGATTTTATACTATATGATATGATGACCCTGATCTAGACATAGATATACTAAATGATATATGATATATAAGGATGATATATAAATGATATATGATAGATCGCAGAGTATACTATAAAATTATAATTTACTAGAGCATTAGGTGTTCGGCTTGCCTTTGCTAATCCTGTTTACTTGTTGGCTTTAATATTTTTTTGTTGTTGCTGGATTTTTCTTTGTTTTATTGAGTTGTTTGCCAGCTTCGCTGCTTCTTGTTCTCAGCGATTTTTTTGGTTTTTGTTCTATGTGCATCGTCGATTGCCCTGGCTTAACTTGGCTTTGTTTTTCTTGCTGCCAAAGCCAAGAGCCCACAGCTGTTTAATGGCTGGGCCCATATTGCGCCAAACAATTCAATTTATTTAAGCCTGTCGCTGTTCATGTTAATATGCCCAGCACAGCTATGTAAATAGCGACATATATATATATATAGAGTATATATTTTATATATATATATATATAGAGTTAAGTCAGTCGATTTGTGTGCGCTTCAAGCAGCCACGCCCACCTGCCCTGTGTTTATTTAATTCGCGTAAATTTTTATTAATTTTAATTGAAAGCTTTACGAGCGCCGCTCCGTGCTGCGCCTTTGTTTATGCTTTAGTTGTGGCTTTAGCTTTTGTTGTTGTTGAGCGCGCCCAGCTGCAGTTGCTCTACTATGTGCATGGCCAAGCCAGCAGACCCAGCAGAACCAGCCCCAGCCCCAGCCCCAGTCCCAGTCCCCAGTCTCTGCCGCTGTTGTTGCTGCTGTTTGTAAAGTGTTTTTGTTTGGACTGACGCTAAGCTGGCTGGGCGCAAATCCCCGTTAAAGTTCGTTGCTACCCAACTTTGGGCCAACAGCAGTGAGCTTACTGAATATGCCCCCAGCTGCCCCATCAGTTGCCCCCCTGGGGTAGCTGTGACAGCTGAGGCTGCTCAACTGGCTGCCAAGATTTACGACTGATTGAACTGTTCTCTATGCATGTACTTGCTCTTAGTTTTATTTTGTGTTCTTCTTCTTTTATTGAGCTAAACACAACTAAAAAAAAAATAAACAAACAAAAAAACCAAAAACAAATTGTTGTTCGAGCACATTTGAATTGTATTTTATTTTCGGTTTGCTTCAAGTTCATAAAAATAAAGTAGCTAAATGGATTTCCTTCTAGTTGAGTTGAGCTTCATCAAGTGGCAGAGCAGAGTCTTGTTCACAACTGTAGAATGCTAATAAATAAATATATATACATATATATATATATTTATATATATATATATATATAAATATATATATTAAATTTAATTCCATATATAGAGTGACCAAATAAGAGTAAGAAGCTAAAAAATTGCTGTGAAGCAAAAATAACTTGGGT